TTATATATATATATATATATATATATATATATATATATATATATATATATATATATATATATATATATATATATATATATATATATATATATATATATATATATATATATATATATATATATATATATATATATATATATATATGATATAAATATAAAGGATTAAAAATATTACAAAACATATTTACATTTACATTTAGTCATTTAGCAGACGCTTTTATCCAAAGTATATATACAAATAATTTTCTAGCCTACATAAATATAAAAACCACTGCCTTCATGCCTTCTTCATCACTGAGGCTTTTTCAGTTCATTCATAACAATTTGCTTTTTTAAAATGTTATCATTATTAGCAGTATTATTTATTATATGCATATTTATATGTGTTTTATTAAAAACAAGCTTAGATTCGTCCACCTGTTTTAGACCATATGGGGCACAGCATGTTTATTAGGATATAACTCAGGTTTTTGAACACACTTTGTTATTATTGTTTATTTATTAATTTGCTGGAGATTAGAACTGAATTTAGAAATAGCTTTAAAACAAAAGAACTTAATTATTGATAGGCTAATTGATGTCCGTGCGTAAAGGTTTCCCTATCCACGAGAGCGAAAGTGAAAGTAGATTATGAGATGCCTTATCTTTTATTATCATGCTGTAGATGCTCTGTTTAACTGTTTTCTCTCTTGTGAAATGCTCAGTTTTTCCACTTACACTTACTTTACGTCATGTAAATAGCAAATGCGCTTGTGGCGCAACGCGACTGGCTCTTAAAGGGAATGGGAGATGAGACTCTGATTGGTTTATTCTCAAAACACACCTATAACTCATTAAGAAAATAAGCTCAACCCTGTTAGATCATGCGCCACGGCGAAACGTGGATTTTTCCATCCTTATATTGGCAAAAGTGGATTCTGACACGCCCTGAAAGCGTTTGCGCCCTGCGCTTTGCGTATGGACCGTCAAAATAGAGCCCTAACTAACTGTGACTAACAATCACAATTGAATGTTCATTTCTGAGAATTAAGATTTTTCCCCTAGTACTTTAAATTAAAATGGCAGTAATTAAAGAGGTAAAGTGGGTAAAAAAAATACACATACAAGTGTAATGTAAAAACATGTACATGCAAAATTCATAGAAAAAATTATATTGTGATATGAACTATAAATTCTGAGGAAACAAACAGAACTTCAAGATATAAACTTATCATTGTTAAAGGGAAAAATAATCACAACTTGATTTTAAATAAATAAATAAATAAATAAATAAATAAATAAATAAATAAATAAATAAATAAATAAATAAATAAATAAATAAAAAAGATGCATGCAAGAGGCATTACTCTGAACCCAAGGGAAAAAAAAAACAGAATTGTGGGATATGAAATTACAATTAAGAAAAAAGGCAGAATTGTGAGATGTAAAAATCTCAATACTGCATAGAGATTCTGTGTAATCAATCGTGATAAAAAAAAAAAATTTCAATTCAATGCATCTGTGCATTCCAGTTTACCATGTTTATGGATATAATACAAAACAAATATCCAGTTTATGGATGTAATACAATACAAATATCCAGTTTATGGATGTAATACAAAACAAATATCCAGTTTATGGATATAACACAATACAATAGAATACATACATGCCAGATTAGAGGGCTCAAAGGGGTCAAATGAGAAGGACAGGATGTTCTCAGCGTAGCTCTTCTTCCACAGTTTGGTGCCCGTGTCTCCGTTCCACAGAACAATATAGTTGGGAGGGTGAACGGCCAGAAGAAGATCACGAGAAGCATCCTGAGCCCACAACCAGTCCATATCTGATGCACAGGGTAGAGATTCACATTCATTCATTACTCTTCTCAAAGGTTACACATAAAGCTTTTCAGTTATTATAGTAAACGTTTGTTACTTGAAATAATAAGATTAAATACACAGTATAGTACAGTACAGTATAGTACAGTACACAGTACAGTAATCACAAATGATTTGACACAATCTACATTGTAAAAGCGCTATACAAATAAAGCTGAATTGAACAGTGGAAGTCAAAATTATTAGCCCTCCTGTGAATGAATCGTTTTTAGAATATTTCCCAAGTGATGTTGATCAGATTCAGGATATTTTCACAGTATTTGCCTTTAATGTTTTTCCTCTGAAGAAAGGTTTATTTGCTTTATTTCAGCTAGAATAAAAGCAGTTCAATATTATTAGCCCCCTTAAGCAATATATTTATAACCCAAATTATCTAGTTAAGCCTTTAAATGTTACTTTAAACTGAATACTAGTATCTTGATGGTTTAACTGATGGTGATCTTTGTCTTACCCTGAATGGGTTTGCTGTGCTCTTGGATCTCACAGTGTGCCATACCGCTCACCACATCCCACACAATGATCTTCCCTGCCGCATCCGCAGATGCCAGACGCAGGGAGTAGGGTGAGCTCAGACTGTGGTGGTAGTTTTCTCTGGACCATTTCACCTGATGCAGAGACACAACAACAACAACATCAAAAACACATTTCTCTAAAACATTTGCGAAGGTGTTCAGAGTGAGCAGGTGAAAATATGTTGCGTTGAGCTTGAGACAAATATTTTGTGGCTAGAGTATATGTGACTGACTGCCAGAATAACATTATTATTTTTTAAATTTTGTAATAATTAATTTTTAGGGATTTTTCAAACTTAATTTGGATATGACAGTGGAGGTTACAGACAGAGAGCAGAGAGAGGGGAAGAGTCGGCAAAGGTCCTTGAGCCGGGAATCGAACTCTGGTCACCATGAGCACTATGGTGCTATACTGTATGTCAGCGCAATTAACCACTAGGCTATTGGCGCCGACTTTTAACACTATTGTTGAAGTAAAATTTTTTATTAAACAATGATTATGAGTAAATATGACTAAAGTATTGAATGGCCCAGCCAGAGCCCTAAACAAAACCCAAATGAGCAACCCTGAAGAGACCTAAAATGGCTGTCCACCAACGTTTACCATCCAACCTGACAGAACTGGAGAGGATCCGCAAGGAAAACTTGTTGCATCTTTCTCAAAAAGTCTCATGTATTAGGTCAAAAGGGGGCTTCTACTAAATACTGAGCAAAGGGTCTGAATATACTTAGGACCATGTGATATTTCAGTTTTTCTTTTTTAATAAATCTGCAAAAATGTCAACAATTCTGTGTTTTTCTGCCAATATGGGGTGCTGTGTGCACATTAATGAGGAAAAAATGAACATGTATGCTCAATTAGGTTTAAGTCAGGGCTCTGGCTGGGACATTCAAGAACAGTCACGAACAAATGATTTCAGCAAATGGCTGCAATATAACAGAGTGAAAAATTTAGGGAGGTGTGAATACTTTCCGTACACTTCTTGGAGAACAGGTCACTACGTGATGCTGATGGAACACCTCAAAGTGGTTCAATAATATTTGGGTCTGGTCACTGTGCAGGCCATGGGAAAAACTTTACTTTCATGTTCATCAAACCACTCTGTCACCAGTCTTGCTGTGTGTATTGGTGCATTATCATCCTCATACACAACCCCATTTTCAGGATACAGTGTTTGACCCATTAGTTGCATTTGGTCCTCCAGAATGGTTCGGTAGTCCTTGGCAGTGACGTGCCAATCTAGAAAGAGTATTGGGCCTTGGGAGCCGCATGATATTGCAGCCCAAACCATCACTGATGAATGCAACAGTCTGGGTGGTACGCTTCTTTGGGGCTTCTCCACATCATAACTCTCTTGGATATGGGTAAGACAGTGAAGGTGGACAATACATGTTTCAACACATGTTTCACATTGTCCACAGTTCACAATTATGTGAGTTTCTACTTAAAACAAGCAAAATAATAGTATTGGGCCTAGGAAATCCCATGATATTGTGGCCCAAACCATCACTGATCCACCCCCATGAATGCAATAGTCTGGGTGAGACCCTTCTTTGGGGCTTCTCCACACCATAACTCTCTTGGATATGGGAAAGACAGTGAAGGTGGACTCATCAGAGAACAATGCATGTTTCACATTGTCCACAGTTCACAATTAAGTGAATTTCTCCTTAACACAAGCTAAATAAGAGTACTGTGCCTAGGGAATGCCATGATATTGCAGCCCAAACCATCACTGATCCTCCCACATGCCTGCAACAGTCTGGGTGGTACGCTTCTTTGGGGCTTCTCCAAACCACAGCTCTCCCGGATGTGGGAAAGACAGTGAAGGTGGACTCATCATAGAACAATACATGTTTCATATTGTCTACAGTTCACAATTAAGTGAATTTCTCCTTAACACAAGCTAAATAAGAGTACTGTGCCTAGGGAATCCTATGATATTGTGACCCAAACCATCAATGATCCACCCCCATGCATGCAACAGTCTGGGTTGTACGCTTCTTTGAGGCTTCTCCACATCGTAACTGTCCTGGATGTGGGAAAGACAGTGAGGGTGGACCCATCAGAGAACAATTATTATTATTATTATTATTATTATTATTATTATTTACTGTGGTCTAAAACCAGGCAGCACTACTAATGGTACACCCCACACATTCACCGAAAGTTATTTCCTCATTGCAAATACGCCTGCATTTCGGGAGCTATGGTGCTGGTTACATGGTATAAAAGATTAAAGTGCGCAGCAGGGATGACCAACGAAAGCAGAGAGCAGGGCACCTACTGCTGGGTAATGCTGGCTTATTTACAGCCTATAACTACAGAGCCAAGCAGCCTCCAGCACACGGAGCTGCTTAAATAAACTGCAGCTACTAAACACTGCACCATAAAACCCACAGTAAAGTGACCACCCTCACACAGCCAGAAATATCGCAACGCGTGTATGTAAGCACTGAAAAGCAAACACTTGTGATGCTCAATTCTGATTGCATTCAGTTGTTCGGTGTTTGTTGTGCAACTGGAACACCTGCGCAATGATCCGAGTAGTAACTAGAATTACATTACTCAAATAATTAGGCACATTAATAGAGTGATCAGCCGACTCCCAGGAGGTCTGCTACAGGAAGCGTTTTTCAAATTATTTTTCTGCACAGGCATTTGTTTTAAAAATTGCCAAGTATTTAATTCAGCCAACCAACAGCTCTCTGAGATTTGAAGCAAAACCTTAAAAGAAGAGCTGAAAAAAAAACACACAAAGATTCATGAATGCTTTCAATGACAAAATTCTGAAATGAGTCGTATATTCAGACATGAACAAATGATAAAACTCGCCTCAATGCCTTCCAGAGTTTCTGGCTAACAGTGATATAAATGTGGAGCAAGTCACATGCTTTTCGATCAGTGCTTTAGAGATGTTTTTAATTCGCTTTTATAACTGATGTAACAGAGTTGACTAAAATGTAGAGGGGAAAAAAAACTGCATTTCAAATCATAAAGAAAATCGATGCTTCATGCAGGTGTTGAATATAAAAATAAATTATAAGCCGTTTATTGTTAATGTCACAACCGGGTCTTGAACCCGGGTCTCTGGTGTGGAAACCGGTGTGTATACCACTAAGCCACAGACGAACTCGTGTTGGACCCAAACAAAAACACTCCAAGAGGGAATCCAGAAAACAAGGATTTATTAAAAAAAAGTCAACGTAGGTTCTTCTCAAAAATGAGGTAGCAAAACAGACAACTTAGGTTCTTCTCAGAATGAGGTATACGAAATACTCTAACAGTATAATAAACATGTAAAGAAAACTCCACGAGGGGAGAAAACAAACAGATAATTAATGCAGTCAGCAACAAGGAAAATAAAACACTCTTACTAGACATAGCTCAGGAGATCAAGGGAAACGCAAGGCAAGTTCACCAGAGATGACTCAAAAACCGAGTGAGGAACACAGACAAAGTGACAACTTAAATACACTGGCTGGAGCAAGTCACAGGTGATCCAAATTAAGTACACAAGAACACATGAGGAAGAACAAAGACAGAGGGGAAACACGGGGACCACTAGGGGAATGGAGACAAACTGCAGGATGGTGACAGTTAATGTGCCTTTTGATGCACACATACAATTAGTTAATCTTTTTTAATTAAAAATTAAGGTAACACTTTATAATAACTACACACTATGAATCATCTAATTACGGAGACCCGGAAGGGACGTGATGGATGGAAGAAAAAAAAAACTGTGATAGAAAAATCTATATATATATTTTTAAGTTTTTGCATTATCTCGAAAAGATGTTTTGTACATAGACTGATCTGGGACTGATCTAGTTTATCATAAAGTGCGCATCCGTATACATGCATTCGCTGATTCACAGGTTGCATACACGCGCACACACACACACACACACGTGTAATTTGAGTTGGTTTTATTTACTATTTTATTTTAATGTCATCACACACACACACAGCCTAAAGAGATATTTTGCATTATAAATCGTACATAAACTAAAAGATAAAGCAGCACACGTATGAATGATTTATTATAAACACTGCAATATACCATAAATAATAGGAGCTGTCAGTTTTGGTTGGCATGAAGGTGATTTTGTTATGTGTATATTTATTCTATTCTGTTTGTAGTGTTGCATGGAATTACTTTTGCCTTTCTTATATCTACGCTTACAGTGGAATCAAATTCATCTTCTCATTTTGTGAAATAAATAGGATTTTGGTCCCTTCTTCACCCATCCCTAATTCCCTCCTATTTCCAGGTCGGTAACCATGGGAACAGAGGTTGTGTGTAGGTTGCAGACAAACCAACTTGATTATTTAACTTGCAGAGTTTTCATGAAAACAAACAATAGTCAATGTTGAAGTCTTATATTGTGATTTTTGCAACTATGGATGAACATAGAGCTGCTCAATTTTGGGAAAAATTATAATCACGATTATTTTGGTCATAATTGTAATCACGCTTATTTAAAACGATTACTGTTGAAGTCAAAATTATAAGCGCTCCTGAGAATTTTTATTTTTTTTAAATAAATATTTCCCAAACGATGTTTAACAGAACAAGGAATTTTAACAGTATTTCCTATAATATTTTTTCTTCTAGGCATATTTGTTTTATTTTAGCTAGAATAAAAGCAGGTTTAAATATTTTGAAACCCATTTTAATGTCAATATTATTAGCCCCTTTAAGCAATAAACATTTTTGATTGTCTACAGAAGAAACTACTGTAACACAATGAACTGCTTAATTACCCCAAATAAGCCTTTGAATTGCACTTTAATCTGAATGCTTTTATTTAGAAAATATCTAGAAAAATATTATGTGCAAAGATAAAAGAAATCAGTATTTAGAAATTATATATCAAAACTATTATGTTCAGAAATAAGTTTTAAAAATCCATTAAATAGAAATTGGGCAGGAAAGAGGTTGCTAATATTCAGGAGGGCTAATAATTCTGACTTCAATGTATACATACAGTTATTTTCCTCCCTGCAAAGGAAAGAGAAATAAAAACAATAGAATAAAAATATGAAACAATCTGTGCTTTAAGCATCTTCACTGTAAGAATAAAACTTTAGCTACAAAAATCCTTCAGTCAAGGGCAGAGAGGGATTTTCTCGTTTTGTTTGATTAATGATAAAAACAACATCGCGCTGTCTCTTTAATGGTTCCTCTTTCACGTGTCTTTTGATTCTCAACTCGTTTATTACACAAATGAGGGTTAATATAAATAATCACTAAACACCACGTTGACACCTATTTGCCCAATAAAGCGCTCACATTAAGAAGACTTTAGATGTCTGCGCCTCGTCCGTTTCGCGAGGTGCGTGCGCGGTCAGCGGAGGTGCGCGATGCGGCGCCCGGCGCGAGTATAATTTCAGCTTCAGTGTGCGAATGAGACGGAATGCTGACTGGCCAAATGCTTCTGGCTGTGTGCGCGTGCCGCACACACATAAGCACGCGGTCTTTCGCGCTTTTAGGAGCAACAGATGTGTAAAGCTGGAAAGGGGGCGGTATATGATGCAATAATCGTTTATCTCGATTAATGCTTTTTCATAATCGTTTGAAGCCAAAATCGAAATCGGATTTTCGATTTATTGCACAGCCCTAGATGAATATATATGAATAAGGGGGAAAACTTCTTCGTGATGGACCCCCTTTTTATTTTTCCGGGTACCTCAGCAACAGAAGTAGTCATAGATGGGTCACCTGAAACCCTGTTAATGAAACGAGGATCCACTTTTCGTTTCCTTCCACCACACCATATGAAAACCTCAAAATATCATGCAATTCTGAAAGTGCCTCACACAGGTGAGTAGGCCTGACAAACCACCAGTGGAAAACACACTCTTTTGCCTGACATTTTAACCAACACTTTCACCAGTTTTGCACATGGACACCAGGCACATTTTTATAGTCACTTCATAGCTCTAGAATAAAACACACAGAAAAACACTGTGCATTTACAACGTGTGCATCAGGTTCAACTGAGTTAAAGCCAATTTAATTGTCTACTAAAACATCTATTTTCAGCTGCTTTGACGCAATCTACATTGTAAAAAGAGCTATTGAAATAAGGATGACTGTTAAACACGTCATCACCGTCTTGTGAAAAGGATCAATTATAGCAAATTAACCAAGCAGAGCACGAGTCTGAGCTGACCACTGCTTGTGACTAATGGAAAAGCACAGGTGTAAATCTCACCTTGACTACATTGGCTTTGTGTCTCTCCAGGACCTGAATGGTCTGAGCTGTGTTTGGATCAATGATGAGGATGCTAGAGTGACAGCCTTGAGCGATCAGACCCTGCCAACCCCTACAGAGAGAGAGAGAGAGAGAATTATTACAGATATATACACCAAATCTTACACCGCTAACAAATGCAGGAAAAAAATGTGCATATCCTGGTGGAGAACACAAGTCTGATATCAACAGCAGCCAAATATGAGTGAGCCAGTGGACAAAACTAGATAGAAACATTATGATAATTCATCATCATGAAGGTATACAGTTACTATAATAATATAATAACTGTACATTAAAAATAATTTTTATATAAAAAAAAAAACATTTATTAAAAAATTCAAATAAAATTATTACATCAAATTTATATTACTAATAATATAATAAAAATACATTAAAAAATATAGTAAACAATATAAAAATAATAATAATATAATAAATAATAAAAATTACATTTTTAAAAACTCTGTCTTTATTTTTTCTTTAATAATTATATTAGAAACCACTGACTTCCATAATATGAAAACCAAATACTATGGAAGTCAATGGATACAGGTTTCTAAAAAAAGCAAGAATCTGAGGCTCAAATTCACCCAGTTTATCCCCACATTTAACAGCATATAGGAAAATATTGTATTGTTCACAAACAGAACTCCAAAGTAAACCAGATGCAGACAAAATAACAGCACCAAGCCTGAACTGATGAAATCAGGCTTCAGCACCAACAGTCACGGCTTCATTTCATCCAGTCACACTGAATTAAACTGACATCACATCCAATGCAATGGAGAAACACACTATAATATTAAAACTAAGAAGAGCACAGTATTGCAGGAGAATGATGGATGTCATTGCTACATTAATAAATATAACATTATTGACTCAAATGCATGACCAGTGAGACTAATAAAGACTGCTTGTTATATTTGGAAATTCATTCATTTATTCATTCATTCATTTTCTTTTCGGCTCAGTCCCTTTATTAATCTGGGGTCGCCACAGCGGAATGAACCACCAACTTATCCACTTTTCTTTTTGCAGCGGATGCCCCTTCCAGCTGCAACCAACCACTGGGAAACATCCATACACACTCATTCACACACAAATACCACGGACAATTTAGCTCACACAATTCACCTATACCACACCTATACTGACCCAGCCGGGACTCGAACCAGAGACCTTCTTGCTGTGAGGGGATTGTGCTACCCACTGCGCCACTGTGCTGAAAATTATTATTAACTGAATTGGAGTATCTTATTATTTAAACACTACACTGCAAAAAATGCTTTCTTGGATTTTTTTGTCTTGTTTCTAGTCAAAATATCCAAATATTCTAAAATCAAACAGCATTTTCAAGACAAGCAAAACATATCGTCCTGTTTTAAGAAATAATGAGTTTTTTTTTAAACCATGAATTATATTTATATTTAGCAAATATTAAGAAAATGTCTTATGATTTAGAAATAGTTATTTAGACAAGAATCAAGATTTTTTTTTTTTATAAAAAATGCATTATTATTTTATTATTATTTTTTGCAGTTTAGTGACAGATTCACACACTTTAATCTTACCAAGCTTATTTTTGTTTGCAATGCCAACAGAACTCATTTGGGATTTTGCCACGTATTCTTTCAATATTATTTGATTTATTTATTAAAATTCAACAAAATGATAACACGCATACATTTGCATACATTTACATAGACACATTTACGTATACATACATACATACATACATACATAC